CCACATTCTGTGTACTTCCTTCTTCTGTTGGAGTTTTGTCAGTAGTTCCTTGCTCATCCAGGCAGGTCTCCTGCCTGCTTTGCTGGACTTCTTCCTCAGAGGGATGCACTGCTCTGGAGCCTGGAGGAGGTGATGCTTGAATATTAACCAGCTCTCCTGGACCCCTCTTCCTTCTAGGGCCCTACCCCATGAGATTCCCCTAAGTAGTTCCCTGGAGAGGGCAAAGTTAGCTCTCCTGAAGCCCAGGGTTGCCATCCTACTCATTGCCCTGCTCCCTCGTCGTGGGATCCTGAACTCCACCATCTCATGGTCACTGCAGCCAAGGCTGCCCCCAACCTTCACATCTCCAACTAGACCTTCTTTGTTTGTTAGGACAAGGTCTAGCATTGCACCCCTCCACATTGGCGTCTCCACCACCTGGGTCAAGAAATTATCATCAGTCCTCTGCAGGAACCTCTTTGACTGTTTGTGCCTAGCTGACCAAGGCACGTTGTAATAGGAAAGACAAAAATGAGAGAAATAACAAATTTTAGCAAGGGTCTCTTCTCTCACATTACCATGACAACACCTACTCCATTTATTGTCGGTTGAGCCCTGTCTCCTCAAATCACACGATGGTCCATGGTAAGTTTGGGAAAATATTTGTACTCTGACAGTGGTATTCATTTGTTTGAGAGCTTGAAAGCTAATAAAACAAAACTGAGACTCTTTTGAAATGGCGTGATGTAAATTACAAAAGACAGAGAACATCTGCAACTGCTGCAGTCAAGAAGAAAACTTGGGATTACATTCTGATAGCTTCATTTGGATGCTCTTACTGAACTGTTATATCTATATCATCAAGAAGAATAACTGATTACCTCATCATCCTAAAGCAATTTTACTTCAATTTTCAAGTCAAATGTATCCTTTAATAACATAACCTCTAACTTCTTATTCTACTACTGTTAGAAAAGCTGATCATTTCCTCTCCCTCAAAATTACTGAAGTTTAAAATATTCATATGAGATAATTACTCCACTTCAGAAATTTTTGAGGCTCCCATAACTTCTCAGAAGAAATGAGGGTGAAATTTATAGCAGTGCATTAAATGGATGAAAACCTTTATCCATTTAGCAAAATTTTCCCCACTTGCTTTGAATATGAAAACGATCATACACTATAAAAGAGATTGAATAAGTATGCCCTAACCTCTTCTGAACATGTGTCTTATACGACAATGGTACTGGAAAGGAGTTTGAAGAGAAAGCAGGCCCCTTTCTCCCATCCTCAGCCAAGATAAGTCAGTAGATAGCCTCTACAATATATGTTTAGGCTGCTCAGAGACAAAAATTCACAATAAAATAAAAAAAAATCCATATAATGAATAAAAACCTCCTTTATTACCTTTGATTTGCACAAAATCACCCTCATCCCCCCCCGATACAAGGATAGCTTGGCAGTCATACTGGCCGTGATCATGCTGGGCCACGTGAGCAGTGGGGAAGGTTCTGATAAACACCACACTGCAACATCCATTGTGTAGCAGTTGGCTTCCTACAATGTACTAAAAAACTGAGGAACAAGCATGGTAAACTTCACTTGTAGATTATTCCATACTTAATAATTTGGGAAGCTACAAACAACAGGCCTCTTCCTCAAAATTCTTTATTTGAAACACTAAAAATTTTACTTTCACTGTTTCTACCACATTTTATTTTGGCAAAGGTCAGTTTAGCTACATTATTAAGGAGAAAATTAGCATATACCACATGGAGTTTTTGATTTCTCTTGTTAATGCCAGGTTCAAAAATGGCTTGCATTCATAATTAGATCTGATTATGTAAAAAGATAGAGTCCAATAAAGAAGAAATTGAAAGGCCATTCAATGCAGTGATTTGTTAAAACAGATTTTCATCCCTGGAAAAGTTAAACAGCTTAATTTTAGAGACCATGTTGTGTAGCAATTTTTAAGCACTCTGCACTTCATGCTTGAGTATCTGTGGTATAATTAGCTGTCAGTTGCTAATGCTGATGGGCTTTATTGTTGGATGACATCTTGGAGACATCACCTCCTGTGGTGAAGGAGAACAAAAAGAATTTAGATCACATAAGAATCGCAAAGAATCACGCAATCGTAATATCTGTTATTATTTAGGGCTTTCCATTCACTAGTAGGTTTTAGACAAAGAAGTAACCATTATTTATCACAGAGGAAGAAGGAGATGCAGAGGAAGTTGATCATTTGCATAGTTAGCCAAGTAGAATCTGTGAATAGTGTCCAAGTTTCTTGAGCCCCAGAGGTCTCTCTAGTAAAGAAAGTACCTGAAAACATGGTAGCAATTCAAATGACCAATGGAAGCAATTAAAATCAGCATTATAAAATTTTAATCAAATCCTACTAAAAATAGAGCTTTTGTTCCAGAATTGCATGCAGATTACAAGTAATTCTGCCAGAAAGTTAGCTGAACTTCTAAAACTAAATCTTACAAATTAAATACTAAGTCGTTTACTAAACAAATAAGCCTTGATATATAATCATTTTGTGATTGGCTCCACTAAGTGGAATTGGAAAATCACAAGATCCAATGAACTAATGCTCAAGTGCGATTGAGTTGCTTGTTAATTAGGAGTTCTACTGAAAAGTAATCCACCCAGGAGTTAGTTATTTTCTAATTTAAACTAAAATTACCGAGCCATTTACTGCTGTTTGGACTGTATATGTAACTGCTATTTAGCCAGGCCAAATTCTGAGGTGCCAAACCATTCTAATTCCCAGTGCTTTCAGTGGCAGATTGTGACCCACAGTGCAATTCACTACATAGCTACAAACAGGTTACCCTTATGTTCAACAATAGAAAACAGCTCCAAAGCATTACATAGCTGATATGATTTTACTTTATAAGCACTTCTTTAGAAATTCACTATTAAGTCTAAACAAATTTTATATGTAGTGGCCTTATACTCAAAATTTCAAGTTTTATTCTTTGTTCACCATGCATATTCTCAATGAATGAAGTCATACTTCATACAATAAAGGTATTTGCTCAGCATGCCAAATTAAAAGAAGCAGCAAGCTAAGCAAAATAAGGTTTTCAGCAAACGATACTGCTAGAAGCAACAAACTATGGACACAGAGCAAGGGCATGCCTGCATCACTGTCCAAAGGGCTGTGAGATCATTTTTACTTTTTAAATGTATGCATATAAAACAGCAGTCCTATATATATATGAAAAAGTTTCCTTCCCTTTATATTTTTGTGCTTTGTGGCGTAAGAGAGCTTAAGAAACGATTTAAATGGGAAAATCAAAAGTTATTCTACAAAGAAAGTTAATGAAAGAGTTCTAGGCACTGTGCTGTTTATACAGAAAATGGATAATTGTCAAGACAGCATCCTCTGGATGTTCATGTGAACACATGCACGCAGACATACATATCTTTGTATATTTAAGAAAATAAAATGAGAAATGAAACATACACAATTTCTTTAGATATCTCAACTACAATTCTAAACAGTATTACATTAACAGTTTGACAAGTAATGAAAGTGACTTTTTTTTTACATATAATGCTTGCATTAATTATTCTTACTGTATATATATGGTACAGCCTAGGACATAGTCTTACATAAATATGATCATGCCTGCTTTGGTGTAGGCAATTGCATCTCATGAGTTACCTTGTACTTCACAGGGAAAATCCACCGTGCTTCCTGCCATTCCAAACTGGTCCTTGGGCCTCACCATATGTTGAGGAAGAGCTGAACAGGAGGAAAGAATGAAAAAGAGTGAAATGAAAGTGCTGTCCAGGCTTTCATTGGCTGCTTCACTTCCAAATGATCTTCATATTACAACTTACGATAATCATAGTGGCTATAATTCAATACTATATACATATAGACATACATATACTCATAAAGAAGTATTATGCACTCTACACTTATTAAAATCAAGAGAAATTTTTACAGAATTTTGAATGCTTTGGAACAAAATTAAAAACCGGGAGGAACATGAGCAGGACAATGACACTTGATTATTGCTTCACTGAAACAAGACAGCTCTGGCTTCTTGTCAGAATACAGAAACCCTGTATTTATTGCAGCCATAAACACAGAAATATCACTCTTCTAAAAGATATGATCTGCTTCTTCTATCAGTTTGTACAAAATTCAAACAAAGAAACGTTCCAAATCAGACCTTTGATGCATGATAGAAGAGGAGAAAGAGTATAGAGGGTGTCCCATTCTCCAGGTGCCCTCCGCCCCCAAAAAGGTGAAAACCAGTCCTCAGCAAAGTAATGCAGGCTCTCTATTTGCCTAAGGACTGATGACCTATCCTGCTTTTCCAAAAAGAAAGACCCAGAAAAATAAAAGGGGAGGCAGAGGGATAGAGGCACTGTGGCTGCCTCCAGCTGGCATTAACTGTGGGCTAGAAGCTTTGAAAAACTGATTAGCATCTCTTCTTCACAGTAGAACTAGTTTTCTATGTTATATATAAACCCTCCCCAAAACAAGCCAAAAATAAAAAAAACCTCACCTCATTTTGCAACAAGAAAGAACTTTTTAAGGAGTGCGAGATCCATAAATGGATTAAACGAAGAATGAACAAACACAGTGGAACACAGGAGGTGGGAAGGAACCATCTCTCTCCCATGTTATGTACTCCGTCCCTGTATTCCCAAGAACTTACTTCCTTCTTTTATCCCAGACAACAAATTGTTAATTTCTTCATTCACTCTAACATTTACACTCATCTAAATGATAAATTCAAGAAGCAAAAACATGCGTATACGTGTATGTGCTTACATGCATAGTGATGAATGAAAACCAAAAGATTATTCTGAATATACTTCTCCACTCTTAGTGGTTTTGAGAGAATTGGAAGCCTCACTATTTATAGTGCTACAAAACCATGATCTCGTCAGTAATTCACAAGAGAGAAAGGAAAATCAAAATACATTTAAACACAATCTCTGAGGTTAATCTTCCCTGTCATGAGATTATGTATGTCGCTACACTTACATTTACTGCTTGTTCCACCCCCCACCCCCCATTTTATCTCCATGTGCTGAATGCTTATTTTGGGCTAAATGGGCTGAAACGAAATACATAATCATGTCTTGTCTTCCCCTAAATCAGAAATTTAAGTACAGCAAATGAGAAAGAAATCTTCAAAACCTCAAGGCAACTCAGACTAGGTTCAGTTCAAAACACTGCAATATGTTATCTAGAAGGTATGGAATTGAGTACAGCTTTTATTTGACAGTTTATAAGATGTCAATATTAGCAAAATTATTTTCAGAAGATACGGGCATAGAATGATTTGGCCACCCATGAAAAAAATCAATCTTTCTTTCTGAGGGGGGGAGGTGTCCACTATATCATTTTCCTGAACACATGCAATGCATCAAACTGTTCTTAGATTTCTACTTTCAGCGTATCTTGGATGCCTCTTGCCAATAAGTCGTAGTTATTTTTACTGACTGCACGTACAGGTAAACATCTATTATATCTCAGTTCTTATCTGCTAAATATACCTGTATATATAAAATACTTCACTGAATGTGATTCCAAAATACACTATTTTGATTTTTTTTTATTATATTGTGTCTCTCTTGTTCTCTTCTGATGATCTTTGAAGTTCAGCATAACAATTATTCCTAAACTGCATATTTCATCTTGACACCCATGGAAACCCTTTAAATAGGGAATCCTTCTAACCATTCATTTGGATTTTCTGGCATTTGGTTTCAGAAACAGTAACAGCTTAAATCTTGTACAGCACTTTAGGCCTAAGGTAACAATGTACCTGCTCACTTAATTTTCACATTTGTTTTCTCTGCCCATATGCAATAGCTATCATTTAATAATCAGATTTAATAACTACTATAAAATCTTTTCAAGTTAATGGCTGCAGAGATTGAATTTATGTATTTTAATGACACCTATTTCATATGTCTATGAACAAAAAGGGAGCGTTCAATACAGCAACATTCAGATAGCCTTTAAAGACTTAACTTGCTGGAGACTAATCACTATTTGAGTGACTATTCTTCCCCTACAAGAGCCAACCCTTAAAATGATTTATGATTAATTATTGTATTGCAAACAAAACATACTAATGTTGTGCCAGAGCACTTCAGTAACGGCAATACCTCATCATCAGTAATAAGATTTTTCTCTAACGTCCTAAGCAACAGTCCTTTCAGTGGATGTTATGGCAGTAGAGGTTCTAGAGAATTAATTAGAACTGTATAACATATATGGAAAATCTAATACTCACTATTGAAAAGGAAAAGCAAAGACTAAAACACAAGCTAATTTATTATTGACATCTCTTTCTTGTTACTAGCTAGCTAGTGTTCTTGGGAAACCATGCTTTAACTAGGAGAATGCTATAAATTGAAATGACCTTTACAGTAGAGAGAGTTTAGTATTTATAGCCTCGTGATAACTTCCCTTTTTCACGCCTTTATTTGTTTAAAATGCCACAAGTAAACTTCTGACTCTGAAAATATAATGCTAATGTTTATCACATAAGTAGAGGTGTGTAGTTTAGTTAAAATAAGTCAAGACAATATCCTCCTGGCCATTCTTTGTAAAAATATGCAGTGGGATGAATTCTGATTTACCATGTTAGTTGTTCTAGGTTATATAAAATAGCGTATCTGCTTCGGATTCTGTTTTGGATATTTCAGAGGGAAACCTTTTGCATTTTTATTCTTCACTTGACTAAGCCAATATACAGAGGGGATTTTTTGTTATTTACTTCAGTTACTGCAGAAAAATAGAAAGTTGCCACAGAATCAGGACACAGAGAAGAAGCATCTGCTAAAAAGACAAAAAAGTACAACATCTTTAAAAAAATACAATTTGTTGTAATAGGAAATAAAAGCTTCTTTTTGCACACCAATTAGCTGATTAATGATAGAACTAATAAGAAATTAAAAACTACACATTGCTACATAAAAAGTAAAAAATAATAAAAAAAGAATTTCTATCCTATAACACCTTCAAATCATAATCTAGGCTACAATTTATGCAGTGTTAAATAGTTCATTAGTATATAATGCAAAAATAGAAAAAGAAGATTACAAATTCTTTGGGGTTTTTTTTTTAATTCTTCTCTTTCAAATCTTTAATAATATTTTATTACTATTACCCTTTTCTTTGTGATATTCTAAATCTAAACAGAAAATCAGGGTGAAGTAGTTAAGTTATATTTTTTATTAATCAATTTTTGTTGCTTTTATACAGGAAAATTCTCTCTGCACAGGCTTTTTAATTGTGTTTTCCTGCTGCTCTTCCAAAGGAATATTAAGTAATAATATTTAATAATATTCCCCCACACCAGCACTGATTTTATAGAAAATCTGCATACAGAAAAAATTGGAGTCGTTTTGGAAACTGATTGTTCTATGGTTGGGAAGCCAGTGTATAATCACTACTACTTGTGCCAGCACTGATATTTAGGTCAAATTTTACCTTTCCATCCTGGATTATTTATCTCTTTTCTTTCTCCTTCCCCATCCTATTTTTGCTGTTCTTTCATTTTGCAATGAAATTCAAAATGAGATGTTAGCTTAATTTTTATGAATCAGTCTCTAAAAAGGCTGACCAAATCTGTACGTAGTGCAACAAAGAAGGTCTTACCAGGTAAAATGACTTTTCAGGTTTCTAAGTCTCAAGTAGAAATCCCTTCTGTGATCCTTCTTAACACTAAATTTGTTTTGTTCCTAGCAGCAGCATGGTATCAATTCATGCTCTTCCAAAATGTACAGTTGTTTCTTGTTGGTCATTCCCAAAAGATAAGTTTCCATTGCAGTTCTCTCTATTAATCTCTAAAACTACATTTACATATCGCAGTGGAGTAGAAAACAATATGTGGGTTTCTCTGAAAACACTAGCAAATATACTGGAAGTAGCACCTCTAAATTCAGGTAGTGCCCATGAAAACTAATTAGCTTTACTGAGAAGAAAGGTGCATGGTCCAAGCAGGGCACCTTGCTACTTGTCCTGAACACTCCCACTGAAAGAATTTAAGTATGATTGCATGATGCTGTATTTCATCCCAGCTGCACTGCAGAAGGCTGTCCTGTACACTCTTCC